AGTCATCGATACATGCTGGGATGAAGATCGATCAAGCTTGCACGCAAGCTTGCACATCGGAGAAAGTAGAAACTTCAAATCTCCTTTTTTTCAGAGTAAAGACTAAACCTTGTACACTTCTTTAAGTCCGAGAGACAGAGATCCCTTGCTTATTATTTTACCCTTTTAGCTTCCACAAACCAGCATGGTGGTCGACATTTGTGGCTTTTCCCAGGTGACTCATGCTGGCCTGTTCAAATGCCCTTCCCGCAGCCACGGGTACCTTCTGCGCCTAATTGCGCATTCTCAAGTGGTGGTGTTGAACCTGAATGAGGTGGGATGGACTTGCGGGCTTACGTGACAGGTTGCGCTTTCTCGTGTGTTAGGAAGCAAGGCGTTTTCCTTTTTGAAACGTGTTTTTCTCGCTTTTTCAAACCCTTGAAGTTGTGTCTTTCCACTTCCTTGGAAGTCTCCTCCATCGTCTTTGAAGCCTTATCCTGCCTCCTTCGAAGGCTCACCCCCTTCATCTGAAGCCGAAAGCTTTGGTATGCTTTGCTGCTGCACAGCTTGCACTCGCTTTTCTGCCAGACTCAAACAGCAACCTCGCTTCAACAGTGCCTTTCTCGTAGCTCTAGCTTTGCTAGCTAGAACAGCTTTATCAGTTTTCTGCATTTGCCATTCACTTTGCATTTTATTTTTTTCAAGCAAGCTGTGTCGTGTGGCTCGAGTGTGATGGAAAAGTCTTGCTATTTGTTTTACTTTGTATGAAGTTTGTTCTCTTCGCTTAAAGCCAAAAGCGGTTGGTGGCTTTTTCGTGTGTGCAGAAGCATGTTTTCGTTCCATCTTCTTGTCTTTTCGTCTTTCGAGAACGAAAAACGCTCTTTTTGTATGCTGAAGGTGAGAGTGGCCCAGCACAGTCTTCCCCAATTTGGATTTGTCGCTTGCTCTTTGAAAAGCGGCCCTTCTCTTCAAGTCTGATAGATGATTTTTGGAATTGGCAGTTTGAAGATGACGTGCCACGGCTTGCGCTTGTTACAAAGAAGCACGTCTTGCTGCCATGAGCGTAACACTAGCTGTTGTTGCGTTTTGCTGTTCATGCCTCAAAGCTCACGCTTTCCCCTCAAACCCCTTCAGCTCCTCAAGCCCCCTCTGGACCCTGGCGAAGCCTGCCTTTGAGGGTTTTTTCAGGTAAGACGTACGTCGGATGTTTCACCTCTTTGTACATTTTGGTTTGTGTTTGCGTAGTTTGTTGTTTCGCTTAGGGACCGAGTGCTGCTGACGTAGTCGACAAGGCCCGCCAACGCCAAAAAAAGTCTGGGGCCCAGGCCCACTTGTACCTTGCAAACTCGGGCTATTTTCGCAAAAAAAGATCTCGAAGTCCGACCTTGGGCCACGTTTTCTTCTGTTGATGCGTCTCCGAACTGTCGGCCCTGAGTTATGAAACTTGCAGACAGTCGACAGATGTATGCAAGTATCCATGCTTGGCACAAGCTTGGCCTCAATCCAACGCTGCTGAAATGATCGTAACGGTGAGGCGGATAAGGCATCCACAGTGCAATCGCTTAGGACACCCTTAGGATTCAGACCACCCGACGCTACTCTTCAAAGGAAGCCGGGCATTCCAGTGGGCACCCACCAATGATGCGCCGCGCATAGGATCCTAGGCCTTTGTGCTCGAAATATGTCCAACCCTGATGCAAACCTTGTAGAATAACAGAAAAAGGCCCTAAAATAAAACCCTAAACCCTAAAGCCTGAAGCCCAAACCCTAAACCCTTAACGAACCTCCGCCCGCTTTAGTCGCTGTGCTTTTTGCTCGAAGCTGCAGCTGGCCCCGATTTTGGCTCTGCAGTTTCAGTCTGAGAGAGCACCGAATTTTATTTTGGGCAAAATACAAAATTCGTGGAGTCAAACATCGCAAATGCTCCGAAGAAATTCCTAAGACCGTTGGAACTGCAGAATTGAAAGTTTGAACCCTAAACCCTCCTATGCCTTGAAGAGTTATGTCCGTCATGTTTGGCAGTATGGTTGGTTGTGGCGATGCACTCGAGAGAGCTTGACCTTGGCGAAGAACTGCAACGGAGCCTCTTGCGGGCAGTGGTCGGCTCGGATGTTTTGAGAGCCTTCGGCTCGGCGTTCCGAAACTCGGCTGTGAAACCCTAGCTTGTGCCTTAAACCCTAAACCCTAAACTTAAGCCCGAAACCCTTCTGCCTTGCATCCGGCATCTCCCGGCCCTCAGCTTCGATTTTCTTCGTTTCGATGGCCCGAATCATTTAGACATGACGCTCCCCGGCACATGGAGCTCCCTGAAGCCAGAAATCCCAAGACGAGCTTTGACACGCCCAGAAACCTCCGCCTTAGACATGGGTATTCATAAAAGCCTAATTCCATAAACCGTTATGCCCCTAAACCTCAGTTAGGGTTTAGGGTTCAGGGTTTAGGGTTTAGGCTCTCAACCTTTAGACCCCAAGCATTGGTCTGTTGGAAAAGAGGGGCTCCGACAGAAAACCTCCTTGAAACCGATGCCCAGGTCAGGAAACCCCCGTCGACGAAGACGTGAGCTTTGCCGTTTCAGAAGTTGACACTTCGTAGCTGAATGAGTGCAGTTTACACTTTTTGGGAAGAGTACTATCCCTCATAGACCAGAAAGAATAGCATCCAGTGCAGACCTTGTAGACTTTTCGGGACCTATGAACTCAGCAACTAAGGACATCTTCGTGAGTCATTCCTGGTCTTCCGATGCTTGTACAGCAGTTGGGTTGGAGGCTTTAGGGATCAGAGTTCAGTAGCGTTTTGGATTTAGGGGTCAGGGTTTGGGGGGGTTTAGGGTTTGGAGTTAAGGGGTTTGGCAAATTTGCGGTTTGGGGATTCGGGTTTAGTGTGGTAGGTTCTGATCTTATGTGCACCGAAGGTCTTTTC